ATGAAATAGGCCTTTGCAGGTCCCGCAGAACAATTCCGTTTTCATTTTGCCAAGATTGCTTATTTTTCTTGAAATATCTACAAAAATAGGTACTATGATCAGGGTACTTATTCTTGTCTTAGGTCGCCCACTACAGTCGTCGGCTTATTGTATTGTCCTGTTCGTCTATTTAGTTAATGAAAAGTTTCATGACCTTGATTAGCTTCTTCACCATGTGGCTTTTATGGTGAGTTTAGAGATGGGGTCTTCTGGCTGTATCTCCACCAGCGTAAAACCTCACATTCGAAGAATATGTGGGTGGTGGTTTCATCCTCTTCATCACAAAGTTCGTATATAGGTTCTTCTTGGAGAATGCCCATTGTGTGAAGGTGTTTTCTCAGGCTATACAGGGTCCGATTATGAGTCCAGTATTAGCCTGATTTGATTCCTGTTTAGTTGTAGGACCTCTTCAATAAGTTTAGGTGATAGTGGTTTTACCATTAGCTTAATGTGTCTGAGCTTCAGAAGAGTTTGCCAGTGAGTTTGGTAATTTCTATATACCCATTGATTTATTTTTGTTCTTATCGAAGATTTTGTGGTGCCAATTGCCGGTTCAGGAACAGATAACTGGTTGCTGATCCTTCGCGTGACAGAGCATCTGCTTTTCCATTTGCGTAAATTCCTTTATGTCCTGGCACCCATTTAAGAGTTACCTTGTAGGCCATACTTAGGTTTTTGAGGTTTTCGAAGCATTCCCTGACAAATTTGGATTTTATTTCACAACTGTTGAGTGCTTTAATCGACGCTTGACTGTCTGAGCAGATAAGGATGTTTTTACCTCAGGTTTTCTCTCCGAAAGGAGTCGATGGCATAGAATTCTGCTTGGAACACAGTAGTGACTCCTCTCAGAGGTTGGCTGATGTCGCATCTGGGAGTTTGTCCATATATTCCACCGCCGATTCCAGTCTCTGTTTTGGAGCAGAAGGCACGGTTTCTTCGGGCAGTGCGCGACGCACATCTCACATTCTGTTGAACGCCGCGTACGTCTGCCTAAATCAACCGAGTGTAAATTATATAGACAGGTTTGTTGGCTTTGCGCAGGTGAGCGCGATGTACAGCATCAGAGAACTGGTGTACGTCATGCCTGAACCAATGGCGACGTTTACGTTGTCAGTTGTGGGTCGAGCACTGTCCTAACAAACCGTACCCTCCTTTAGTAAACCAGACAATTTCTTGTTCAGGTGTCACCCCGGTATTTCCCACTGGAATAATCTCGATAGCGAAGGGTTTTCGATGGATTTTTTCGCTTTCCATTGTTAAAATAGGGTTTATGATTATTTTGGTGATTGCCCATTTGGTTTTGTGTTCCAGTTTTCATTCAGCTGGAGACGATATGCCCTGATTCTAGCCCCCGCTTTGACGATAAGGTCAATTGGTGGGAGGTTTAGGATCGTTTCCATACTTGTCGTCAGTGTGCTTGTCTATGCACCAGTAATACAAAGATACGCAAGTGTTTGGATTTTGGGTAGCTATAGATTTTAACTTCAGGCCACCATACAAGTGCACCATATGTTATCATTGGTGTTATAACCATTATTTATGTCCAGTGTACAATTGACGGTTTTAGTCCGCATGTTTCATCAATCGCTATTTTTAGTGACATCAACGTCATCTGGCTTTTGATGGTTATCTTTTGGATATGTTGGTTCCTCGTTTTTTGGAATAGACTAGGGAGTATTAAGACCTCCAGATATCTTTTTCTCGTGAAAAGTATGAGTTTTGTTTTGGAGGGGTTGACGCGAAGTTGCTCCCCTGTGCATCATTCCTCAATTATTCCTAAGGCATCCTGCATGAGGTTTGATACCGTCCTGAAAAATCCTCTCCTAATGACAACGACTATGTCATCCGCCCAGCCTAGGGTGAAGTAATCTTGATCGTTGAGTTTCATCAGAAGTTCATCCGCGACTAGATTCCGCAAGAGTGGTGAAGGTACTCCGCCCTGTGGGCTTCCTTTTGTCGCGGTTACTTTTGTAGAGGTTTCAGCAATAGTTGAGTTTATAGTCCTATGTTTTAGCATGGATTTGATCCATCTGTATGTGGTATCATTATTCGCATGTTGCCCAGCAGCTCTGACTATGGAGTTGAAGGAGGTGTGGTCACGAAGTGGGAACGCTGCTCCTTTGTTTCAAGAATTAGGGCTCAGAGGACGTATAAAGAGACACATTTCGACATTCGAAAATATTTTTCATACGCAAATTGTAGCTTGAAATATCTTCTTCCCCCAACGTTCTTTTCAGTTTTTCCCAAATGTTTCTATAAACTCCACTAGGGAGAGGGTCAAACCGATGAGTCACCTATCAATTCAGAAAAACGATGAAATAATGTTTTTGCAATATTAGTTTGAATTAGTGAAATATACTTGGGATCATAGGGTGTATCATTTAAAACGAAACAGGTTAAATATCTGATGCCACGTTTATTTTTGAAAAACTCGCTCGTACGCGTAATTTTTAAAGGTTAGAGTTTTCTGCAACAATTCTAAGCACTTCAACTTTAACCCTCTAGGCGGGGTGGGACCAATCCTTACTATTTCAAATGGAACAAGGAGTCGAGTGATACCTCTTTTAAAAGAGCGTTCAATTCTCTTTCATTTGATGTCATTTGAAAGAAAATTGAACGCTCTTTTAAAACAGGTATCACTCGACCCCCTGTTCCATTTAAAATGGTAAGGGTTGGTCCCACCCCCCTACAGTGGCGTAACTTCAAATCCGGCCCCCCCCCCCCCCCCGCAAAGATTTTCCCATCTTTTATGTATTTTTTTTTCTTCCCAATTTTGCTTTATACAGGGTGTCAGTTTTAAGTGATACCACGTATTGCTATCCCCGAACCGGTAAAAGGGACGAAGTAGGTTAAATTAGATAAAAGTGGCAGATTTTAGTATCCATTGAAGGTAAGTACACAGGGTTGCCAAGTTTTTGTTCGTTTCCGAGATATAAGGGAAAATGTAAAAAAAATTAAAACTTATTTAATGAATATTTCAAAATCTATCAATTTTAGAGAAAAGCGTTCATACAAAAGATTCAAGATTCTTTCTTCTCTACAAAATGGTGTCATTGTTATCTTCACACGGCCTTCAGTTGGGTCTACATTTTCCTTTATATCTTCGAAATGAACAAAAAATTGGCAACCCTGTGAACTTACCTAAAATGGATACAAAAATCTGCCACTTTTGTTTATTTTAAAATTTAACCGACTCCGTAACTTTTACCGTTTCGGAGATAGCAATAGAAGTAGGTATATCACTTAAAACGGCCACAGTTGATTTTGCATCTGTGAGTATGTCTAAACATTTCTCTCTGAGATCTCTTACATTGGTTAGACATACTTTTTCAATGGTTTTTATGTATTATGAGGTTCATAGGTTAGGTTTAAGTATTTTCTTTTAGTTTAGTAATATTCTTGTCGCCAGTTTAGTACTTTCTTGTCGCCTGGTCTGGGGCCTCCAAGTCACGGGGCCACCCCGCAACTGCGGGCCCTGCGGGCCCTTCGTTACGCCACTGCCCCCCTATAGGGTTAAGTTAAGTTAGCGCTGATAATGTTTCAAACACACACATAATCAAATTACGTGTACGAGCGATTAAAAAAAAAAAAAAAAAGTGACATCAGATATTTAGCCTGTTTCGTTTTAAATGGTATACCCTATATGATGTAAATACACATATACTTCGAAGAAATGGATGGTTTCCATTTTAATCACAAAATTTCCTAAATTTAAGGAAATTAAAACTCTCGAGATGTTTACACTGTTGATGACAATACATTTGCTACTAGTCAAGCAACATAACCGTCGAGGAGCTTTCAACGAAAAGGCAACATGTAGACCAATGACTCGCTTTGTCTTAAGAATACAAATAAATAATGACAACCAGTCACTTATCCAGACAATGTTGTCACGTTGAGAAATAAATTAGGAAAATCAAATAATTAATAAAATTTTTCACATAATGGAATTAATAAAAAACTTCCAACCCTTTGTAAACTTATCGAATTTCTACTGCTAATAAATTTCAATAATTTTCCTGGAATTTTTTCAGACTAAAAATATCAACCGACCTTCCTGTTTTTGGACATGCGTATAACACTCAAAAAAAGGGTAACATCCCTTATTGACAATTTTGCCTAATGCCCAGGTATTGTTCCTCCGAATCGACCTGATTTTGACAACTCTCATTATTTTTAAATATGTAAGTTACAGTTTTTAGATATTAAGACTAATATAACCAAGTTTAGAGGTTGATTGATTCAACGAAAGTAATGCAACTGGTGATCATTGTGGTATTTTTTCAATTTTAGTCTTTTTATACCTGAAGATGAAGCGTTGAAGCTTCGAAACCGGTAGTACATAAATAAAGAATTTTTGGGATTTTCAAGACTATTTTTCTTCAAACCTATCATCTGCCCAAAAAATGGACCACATACAATCCTTAAAATCAAATACATAATAAAATTATTTCTCTGATTACTCCAAATCCAAACATAAATAAAATTGGACAGAATTTGACTTTTGAAATATTTTGGACAGAGGTTTGGAACTTCTACTTCTACAAAACCATCACTATAGATTTTCCTCGACACTCATTAAACTAATCATACACAACTTTGTGTAGATCTTCAAATTATGCTTTCTGGGAAAAATTCAAGAAATATTCTTCTAGTAGGCCATGAAAAATTTAAAAAAATACATAATGATGAGCCAATAAACCCTCAAACACCTCTTCCTATCCATAAAGTTCAAACAGAAATTATTAATTCCATATAATATCCACTCTTTTTCGAAACATGTCGATCCTTAGATCAAGATCAAAGTACTACTTACACGCAAAGTGTGGTCTATTTTTACGTACATTCGAAAAAAAAAACATTGCGAAAACTACTCTGTATCTCTTGCCAAAATCTGATATTTTTGTTTCGAAGTAATTCCACTTTTCCAACTTGGTGTCTCGGCAGTTTTTTGAGTCAGCCGGGGCCGGTGGAGCGTGCAAAATTTTCAAAAAAATTTTTACTTATCCGAAAAACGTTTAGTGTTTTTTTTTTACAAGTGCCAGAATGACTTTAGTGCGAAAACAAATAAAGTGAATTCGGTATCCAGCCTGAAACAAAATGAAATTAATAATAAACAAGTTAGATTATTTAATTAGAAAATTACTTGAGACATATAGATAAGACAAGCCAACGAGTAAAATTGTCAAATTCAATATAACTGAAGCAGAAACTACTAGGTGACTGAAGGAAACTGAAAAATTTTGAAGGAAAACCCACGCGATCCAGAGAAGAAAATTGTTGCCAAAAAATTATTCACATTTTATTTTATCCAATTGTTTGTTACCGACCGGCATATTAAGTTGTACCCAAGATTGAGCGGACCTTATGCAAAAATTATTTTCATTCGTTGCACCTCTGCCAAAAATGTTGTAGGTTTTTCAATAAAAATTGCATAAATGAGTGCCCAGATATCATGAACTAGAAACTATTTAAAAACACTCAGTGACATTATGGCAGACAAAGCGGGTGCGAAAAGAAAAAGTTTCGGTCGTAGTGCTTCTACGGAAAGTACCGAGTATTCTTTAAGTATGGGTCGTTCGATAAGAAAAAAGAAACCGAAAGAAAGATGGCTTCTGACAAGAAAAACTTGGAAATATATGGCCGACGCTGGAAGAAAACTTATACCGGATGGCGCAAAAAACTGTCCAGAAGACATACCCAAAATCGAAGAACATTTTCAAGAACTCTGCAGGAAAGAACCTAAATTTCTGTTGTGGCGAAAAAACTCCTATCCTGGCGCGATAAGTTTTAGAAAAAAGCGCAAACATGCATCTCGTAAAGGGGGCAGCTGCAGGAAAGCAATGTCAGAGGGTGACGTTGACATATTCAAACCAGAACGCCCTAAGGATCTCATATTGGAACCAAAAACCCAAGGAAAATTTGACTTAAAAAAAATGCGCGAAGATTTTCTGAATAGCCCTTCAACATCATCACCTACAAGTCAGGAAGAACAACTAGTAAGCATGCTCGAAAAATATTTAACACTAGCAAACAACCCTGAGGCACTCAAAACAACATCAGGTGATTTTAATTATCAAGAATTAGTGTCCAAATTGCAAACTCATTTGAATTCATTGAATTTAAACCGCACTAGTTCCAATTATCAACCTAGATCACCATATACCAGCCATCAATCTTTTCAACATCAAGAACAGCCTCACCATGTTAATTTTCAAGGCGATCACGTGCAAAGAAGCTTATCTGACACCTTATCCAGATATTTCAGTCATCATACTAACAGAGACAAAATAATTAGTGACCTTTTGACTGATAGAAAAGCTTTGGAGATGTTGTATTTCGATTTGAGGAAGGCTAGAGGGTTTAGAGGTAGTAGAGGAGGCACTGGATATTCTACTAGTGGTTATAATATTCATAGATTGTATAATAATAATGACTTTGAGAAGAGATACGGTGATGCATCAAGACGTCCACCTCCTTTAATTGAAGTTGAAAGTGAAACAATCGAAATTACCTATAGAAATTGGGGCACCCAAACTCTACCCGTTCCAGAAAACGTTCTACATGAATGCGAAAGTGAGTTCAAAAAAAAGAAGGCAGAAGAAGAGGAAGAAAATAGGGATAAAGAACGCGACAGACGTTATAGACGTAGATCGAGCGTAGACAACGATGATGTGTCACAAAGCGTATCAGACACAATCAAAAGATACTTGAGGATGGCCAGGAAAAAGAGTGTCGACTCAGAAAAAGCTGTCGGCTTCAAACGAATCAACTATGATAAAAATCTACGTAATATTAAGGCTAAAGGTGAAATAACTAAACCAGGTGACGATGATGGACTTAATAAAGGCTGTCAAACCAATGAAGAATGGATTCTGACTTATAGAGACTTAAAAATGGCGGAAATAAATGAATTTTCAGATGATAGTAGACTTTCAAGTGCTAGAAGCAGCATCGATATCGGTGTAATATTAGAGGAAGGTGTTGTTAAGAGTGGTCCAGCTACCCCTAAAAGTGGTGAAAAACATGGATTTTTGAGTCACCTTTTGCATGGAGGCAAAGATAAAGGTAATTGATTTTTTGCTGCCGAACGATTATTTTTTAATGGCCTATGTTTTTCCCGATTTTTTGGCAAACTTCGGCTCGTAAAACTTAAAAATCATCAAACTTACACTAAATTATGTTTTTATTATCGGAAATTAAATTTGATTGAGATCGCAGGATACATCTGGCCGGCAAGAGAGTTTGACTTGGATTTTTTCACTTTGATCGTTTCTTTGTTCTTTATTATTGTCGTCTAGAATAAAAGGTCACGTGATACTCTTACATTGAAAGCAAATTCCATATTTCTGATTTATTGTGTATCTGTTTGTTTTCTGGCAATTAGGTTTGTTTTTACCCATTTATATTTTCATGGATATAATGAGGAGCTAAATCCAAAGATTTTGTAGTTCTAGCCCTAATGAAGGTGGAACGCAAATGTCGAAACGTCGACGAGAATTCACTCCTTAAAGAATTGAAAAATCTTTGTGATGTTAATTCAAACGAACAAATACCTACGACTTTTCTGGAGGTTCAGATTTTATCAATAAAAATTGATTTTCAACAAAATCTATATTGATTTTTAATTGAATATTCTTTTCTTTACAGCAGTTACAGCCACAGCCATGCAGAAAAGTAAATCATCTTCGAGTGTTATGCAGCAGGGCAGTTTAGTGGCAAAGAAGATTTTCAGGTCGAGATCGAAAAGTCAAACCAGACCTGCGCAAACGCCTTGCAGTTGGACTAATAGGGTAAGAACTCTTTTTTTATAAATTATTTCGGCCTTTAAAGGGAATTCATATTCAAGATCCTAATATAGACGAAGAAAAACACTAGATTTATTGACAAATTTTACTGAAGTTCTATTATTCTTTATTGCAACCACTTAACATCCAGCACGCACTATGCGTATATGTCTAACAAGTCAGCCTAAAAATAGCTGGCCAGCTTATTGAATTTCAATTTTCCAGAAAACTAAATTTATTTTTAATATGCTTTGATAATTGTTTGTGGCGTCTGGTTTGGAACATAAATGATCCAAACTTTATTGTCCACAAATAAATAAGGTTTTACATAAGCTATGTCAGATTCATCAACATTATTCTCCACAATAAATTTTAGTACATTTTCCGGCATTTTGCAATGTAGTTATTCAACTTCAAAAGAATGAGCAAATTCCAGAGGTCTACGGAAAAATATTTATCGGGCTGTTTGTCTTGATTAATTAGAATGACGACCCGCATTTTCCGTATAAATATTATATAGTGAAATTTCAGTTGTACCACGTAATAATTTATTTTATAGGTAATGAAATTGTTTTTCTGATAAAATTTTCCTGCGACAACATAATCGCCGAATTTATTAGAATAATCTTATTTAGTTGTAGACGAAGTAAAATGATCAGAAAAATATTTTCATAAATGACTAATTCCCCCGTAAAATAGAAAACACAACGAAAGCAATAAGAATAAGGCCCTCAGTCCATAAACGATAGCAAAGAAGATACTGTCACGGCTCTGGCGTGCGTGACAGAAATCTTGGGTTGGATTCGTTTGTTCCAAAATCAAAGTCCAATTAACACAACAATAATTAATTCCACGTTACTACACACTAATTACTTCACTAATTAACTCAAACAACTTAACTCTTCACAACTCTTAACAAAACTAACTATCTAAATCGTATCACAGTCAATCTTGAACTTAAAACTACTAACTAATACCGGCCTTTATCCGCAATCTATTCGTGTAGAATCCAGAATAATCGCGATAATATTTTTGCCCGAATAAAGCAGTATTTTCTAGATTCCAAGTTAGATTCTGTACATACTGGCGCCACACTGTCCTCCTCTTGAGGTTGATCGTCCCGGTCAACTTCACGCCCATGATATTTCGTCAATCTGTCATCTTACTCCTGATGGTATTGCGCCAAACTCGATTAACCAAATCATTAATCCTCTTGATTATTCTGTAGGGTCCTTCCCATGCTGAAGACAATTTCGGCGACACTCCTTTTTTTCTTGTTGGATTATACAGTCGCACCAAATCACCTTCTTGTAAAAACGTTTCCGAATTTTGTCCAAAGTCTTGTTAACTCCAAAATGTGCCCCTGAAGTTCCGTCATATATTATTTTCAGTACATCTTCTACTCGATCTTTTGGAATAACCAGTTGGTTAGTAGATTTCCCATCGGCACTTTCCCAAATTCTTTTCAGTAAACCATTTTCTACGGCCAGAGAGTTCCACTGAGCCCACAACACCTTGTAAATCAAACTCTTGTTCTCCATTCTGGCCTACATTCATCATTTTCTCTAAGATGTAGAAATATTTTCTCTAAGATATAGAAATTGCTCGATGTCCTGGTCTGCTTCTTGATCTGCTCTCATCTGTTTGGTAATCCATTTGTCATTAAAGATCAGACCCGTTCTTCTCACAGCCGAAACAGTGTTTTTCGTTTTCGTCATGCATATCGATTCTTTGACGAAGCTTCCAGTCTTCTTTGCATAGTCTTCTAAACAGAGCGTCAGCATTTTTATGAAGGCTTCCTGGTCGATGTTTAGGGCTGGCGTCTCTAGATCTCCTAGATGAAGAGAACATCTTTAGTCTACAATCCCATTGCATATATCCAAGCTTATGGCACCGGTAACATTTTACTCGGTTTCTCGGTGTTCCTGTTTGTTTGGAGTCGTTTGCCAGTTATCTACCTTCGAGTAATAGTATTAGTTTCTTCATTTTCTCCATGAACTTACTAGTAACATTCTCGAAGCTAGCATCCTCTCTTGATGATTGCTTATTGTTTGGGTCTTCAATGGATACTTCTCGTATTCTGGATCGTGTGGCGACAAAGATTGCTTCCAGTTCCAATGCTCGGACAAGGGCTTCGCTACTTTGTTTGAACTGACATTCTCAGATTTTCCTAGATCTTGGAATCTCTGAGATCATTAATGAACACATAAACTGCCATGTCTTCCCCAGCTGCAGGAAACGCCAAACTCACTAGCCGCTTAACTTCCGATTTGAATTCTTGTAAACTCTCGCCGGGTTTTTGAATTCATGATTCAACTTGAATTCTAAATATTTCTTGCCTGTAATGGTCTCCAAAGCGCATTTCTAACGTCTGACTTAGATGCTAGTAATTCTGCTGGTAGATTGAAGGAATGGACTGAAAAAGATCCAAGGCAGGTCCTCGTAGCGCCACTATCAGTGCTGTAGCTTTTTCTTGATCGTTCCATCCGTTGGTGTTTGCAGCAGCTTCAAATTGTCGGATATACATGGACTAGGACGTAGAACCGTCAAAAGTTGGTGGTTTTTTCTTCATACTAGAGAATGCTCCAAGACTACCTGGATTGATGGACTGTATTTCTAATTTATTCACCTTATCTTCAAGTGCTTGAACTCTTTGGTCCTCAACTTCTTGTCTTAATTGCTGAACATCATCTTTGACTTCTTGAACATTGTCTTTAACTTCTTGAACATCTTCTCTAACTTCGGCTTTCACTTCCTTAACCTTTTGTTCCAGGTTAGTGACAGATCCTTGTATGGTTTGAAATATTTCTTGTAGTTGCCCACATAACAGTGAAAGAACATTCATATTCTCAGAATATTCCCTCAAAGTGCTTTTTGGAATGTTCTTTTAGGAATGTTCAATGAATATTCTAAGATTGTTTCGATTGAAATATTCATTTTTGAACGGTCTAAGAATAATAATAAATTGGTTTATTTCAAATAAATACAATATAAATACAATTTTCAATAGTTACATTTGCTGAAATAAACATTAAGCGCAGAAGCTTCATTTCTGTTGCTTGTTAGCGCTGTTATTTTTTTTGGTCACATCCTGGTAATTGTCACTTTTTGGGGTTTTCAGTCACTTTTTGGGTTTTTTAGTCACTTTCAGATATATTGTCACATTTCTTGAATTTCTCACAATCTGGGGTCACTTATGGTTTACATATGCCCGTATGGACCGTTCACTTTATTCTATTCTTAGTTTCCCTTTCAACTTAAGTTTTAAATTTCGTATGCACCGCCAATTAAATCTGCTTAAGTACTTCTTAAAGTTAAGTCATCAAAATCCTCGACTCAAGAAACAAAAATCTGTCTTTATTGCGATTGTGAGGTTAGGTTAGGACGGGTTGGGTTTGTTGTAGCATAACAGCTATATTGAACAAGATTTTTCAACCTTTGCTATACAAAAAAATGGAGTTCGACATGTTAGTTGAAGACGATTTTGATATTTTGGATATTTTCGATTATGGGTCCCAAGAATTTTTAGTTTTAATTTTTTTGGAGAAAATTATTTCCAGTCAATGGATGATTCGTCTTTTTTTCGGCGATTCAGGTTGAGAAAACCCACCGTTTTGCAAGTATTGTCTTCCTATTTTCAATTATATTAGCATACTTATTTGCTTATTAAGGAAATAAACAGTTGTTTTTCATTTTGTGAAAATTCAGGCTTTTTTCTATCATTCATAGGTATTTGAAACATGCCTTACCTTCAAAAAATACCTCGAGAAACACAAAACAAAGAGCGGCCTAGAATATTTCATAGTTCTATAGACACCGACACCAAATAACCAATACACTACAAAATCACCGGAAATTATAGAGTAACGAATATGTTTCTTTTATATCTACGCGAAAAGTAAACAATTTTTAAATTGTCAACCAACGAACTAACCAAAACTGTCAAAGTCAAACTATATTAAAACCTGTAAAAACTGATAAAAAAACAAAAGTCATCAAGAAATTGCAATGTTGTAAATTCTATCAGGTTCTTAGGTAAGAAAACAAAATTTGTTGACGGTGCATACAGAATTATTTCTCAACTTTAAGAATAACTTTGCTGAGCCTTTCCTAACGATGAAACGGTGCATACAGGCATTATACTTTATTTTTAAATATAATCCTACTTAACTTATAAAAATTTATATTATTTCTTATGTCCGTATTACATCTGTGTACCCCCCCCCCCCTCCCCGTGCACTCATTCATGCAGCTCAGGGTGCCAACATTATACATTATTTTGTTTTCCATAATGCTGATTTATGTTGCGTTCGAAGTTTTTCGGTTGTCACCCTGAACTACATGAACAAACACACGGAAAAATACACAGATGCAACACGGGCATTATTCAAACAATTTGTGTATTATGTCTCTATTATTCTGTAACATCCATTGCTTAGTTTTATTTCTAAATTTTTTCTCATATGATGTCTTTCAGTTCTTTAGGCAATACATTATAGAATTTCGGAGCTAAAAAATTTATAGACTTATGACCTATTTGTTTACGACTCTTTGGGACCACCACGCAATTTTTCTGAAATCTGGTATTTTTTTCGTGGCTTACAGATTGAAGAGTAATTTTTTGTTTATTTATAAACATTAATAGATTTTATAAACATTAATAGATTCTATTTATGTACTAGGAATGTTGATTCTATGCAATTACCTGAAAGATTGTGCTAAGAACCTACTTTATATAACATTATACGAATATTCTCATACGAACATTATTATAATGTACCCTAAAAAATGTTCTTTCGGCTAATATCTCTATCAAGTATTAAGAATATACCTACCAAGTTGTGCTGAGAAGTTTATGTAGGTAGGTAACCATGATAAGAATATTTTCATATTGTTCACCTAATTATCTAAAGTACCTACTCAAAAATCTTAATTGAACAATTAAACAATAATGCTCTATCTAGAACCTACTAAGAATATTATAGGTATATTCTTTTTCTTTTGCT